TCCTTCCCCCGGGCCCCAGGATCTAGGAAGATACGTGACGAAGTCCCCGGAGGGTTTCGAAGGGCTCGCGAGCGAGCCGGACGAAGTCCAGGACGAAATGTTGCTGGACGAGCTGCGCCAGTGGTGCGGCATGAGGGGTGCGCCCAACTACATGGCGCTGTTTGAGGACCCAGGGGCTTTTTCGGGAGCGGCCACGGTCTCAGGTTCAGGCAAGGTCTCCAATCCCCGCGGGGCCGAAGTTTCGCTGAAAGATCTGACGCCTGAAGAGAGGGCTCAGTTTGTTGAGTCCGACCTCGCTGAGTGGGAGGCGATTTTGGCTTCTGGAGCGGTCCGCGTTCTCACTCCAGACGAGGCCCGACTGGCTCGCAGGCGTCATCCGGACAGAGTGCTGTCGTCCAGGATGGTTCGCCGTTTTAAGCCGATGGAGGGGGTCGGGGCTCAGGCGAAGGCTAAATCGAGATGGTGCGTCCACGGTCATCAGGACCCGGACGGCGAACACCTTTCGGTGTACGCACCGACGCCTCAGACGGAAAGCATCCTCGTCACACTGCAGGTTATCGCCTCGATGAACTGGGTTTTACACGTTGCCGATGCGAAAAACGCCTTCTGCCAAAGTAACCGGCTGGAACGTCCCAACGGGGCCATTTATGTTGAACCCTGTGCCGGTCTTAGCCTCCCCCCTGGTTCTCTTATCGAGCTGGTCGCTCCGGTGTACGGACTCAACGACGCGCCATTGCTATGGCATCGCACGATTACGGATTTCTTGGTGTCTCTCGGGTTCGGGAAATCGTTGTTAGAGCCATGCCTGTGGCTGAAGCGGGCCAGGTTAGGAGGGCTGGAGGCCCTAGTGCTCATAGAAGTGGACGATCTTATAGTTTCTGGGGAGCCTAAGGCTTTGACTGCTCTGAAGAGGGCCCTCACGGATCGATTTAAGTTCGGGAAATGGAAAGAGCGTGAGGCCGACTATGCTGGGAGACACATCTCTCAGCTGTCGGATCGGATAGTGGTCGATCAAGAGAAATACATCAGAGAGCAGTTGTCTTTGATGTTCCTGGGGAAAGATCGTCGTGCTCAGGTGGACTCCCCGCTCTCGCGAGACGAGATCAGCTCGTATCGCACCGTGGCCGCTCAGGTGCAGTGGCTGGCTCGGGAATCTCGCCCTGACGTGGCAGGCTCTGCGTCTTTGTTGGCGGCAGCGTTGCCCAGCCCTTCTGTGGCAGATGCGCTAGCACTGATCAAGGTTGTGAAATTCTTAAAAGCGTCACCGGAACAACGGTTGACTATTTGGAACCTCGACCCTGCTTCAGTGACTTTCGTCACGGCCAGCGATGCCGGCGGCCCCGGTAGTGCTCGTCGGGGGGGTGCCCAGGGAGCGTGGCTCATCATGGCCGCGGACTCTATCATAAGAGACAACAAGCGAGCTCGGGTGAGCATGTTGGCCTGGCGATCCTTGAGGATCAAGCGTGCAGTGGCTTCCACTGTGGCGGCGGAGACTCTGGCGTTGTCAGGGGCCACCGGGGAGGCCCAATGGATCCAAGTCCTCTGGAGGGACGCGGTGTTTGGAGACGTTCCCCGTCCCTCGTGGTTCGAGGGCCAGCGACCATTTACGGTCATGCTGGCTAAGGAGTGCTGTCTGGGGGAAGCTGCCTCGGGTCTCTCGGTCGTGGACGCGAAGTCGGTCTTCGACGTGCTCAGTCGTAACTCCGCCGGCTCGAGAGCCGATCGTAGGAACGCTGTGGAACTCGCCGTGATTCGGGACTCGCTCGCCTCGGTCGGTTCGCGAGTTAGGTGGGTTCCCCGCGCCCGAATGCCATCGGACCCTCTCACCAAGGTCGACCCTGTTTCGGGCAATCATGCCCTGAAAGATTTGCTCTCGAAGGCCTCGCTGGTGCTAGTAGATGAGCGCGGGCACTTAGACGAACGGTCGCTGAACGCGAGCCTGAAATCGAGATCGCGGGGCGCCAGTAAGAAGATGCTGGACGCCGAGGGGTTGAGAGCTCCGGGCCCCGACGGGCCCGTCTGGATCTCTCTGGCTAGAGACGAGGGTGTCTCTGCCTCCTTGTCTTACGAGGGCGGAGGGGCCGTCCTCGGGAACTGTGCTGAGTTTTGTAGCTTTGACCGGTTAGGGTCTCTGACGACGACGACGGTGGCGGGGACGACGTTGGCCGCGGCGGCGACGGCGCCGGCGACGACGACGTCCCTCGACCCGCAGACCCGCCCTCAGACCTTGGACTTGCCCAAGGTGCGGGACTGTGTGCCCGGCAAGGCCGGGTCGGAGGAAGGAGGAGGAGGAGGAGACGGCTGGAGGAGAACGAAGGACCCTGGCGGTGAGAGCAGGTTTCAGCCCGCCAGAATTTGGCCCGCTGTCCCCCATCTCTAATTTGGGTCCCCCTCGTGGGTCTCTCGGGTCGCTCCCCTCTCCCGCTCCCCTCCGCTTCGGGCTTCACCGTCGCGAGCCTTTTAGGCTTAGTGCACCTGCGTCCCCTCTCTCCGCGCTGCTATGGAAAACATCCTGTCTCCACCCTAGTCCTTCCGTGCGCCATGCCCGACGATGGGGATGACAAATGATCCCGAGAGGGTGCGCGATGAATCGTAGAGCACGGCATAGCAGGGCGTAGAAGAGCACGGCAGAGCATAGAATGTCGTAGCATGGCGTGGCGTTGCGTAGTGAAGAATTGCATTACAACGCATTGCAACGCAAATAATGGCATCGTACAGCAGCACATAACAGAACATGGCATAGCATGGCGTTGAAGATCAAAGCGTAGAATGGCATAGCCTGGCGTGTGACTGCGTAATAAAGCACTGCAGATCCTAGCATTGCAGCTGAAGGCATGGCATCGCACAGCGGAACACCACATAGCATGGCATTGCATTCCGTGGCATTGCATTGGAAATGATAACGCCAGCGCTGCAGGGAGAGCACGATTCGGAACGAGCGGAAGCGCGGAAATGAGGCCAGCGCTGCAGCGGGAGCACGATTCGGAACGAGCGGAAGCGCGGAAATGAGGCCAGCGCTGCAGCGGGAGCAAGATTCGGAACGAGCGGAAGCGCGGAAATGAGGCCAGCGCTGCAGCGGGAGCAAGATTCGGAACGAGCGGAAGCGCGGAAATGAGGCCAGCGCTGCAGCGGGAGCAAGATTCGGAACGAGCGGAAGCCCGAAAATGAGGCCAACGCTTCAGCGGAAGCAACATTAAAAAAACCCAGCCGAAGACCCAACCTCCAGGAATCCTGTGTGTAAAGGGGGCGCCAGACATGTTCTGGACGTCATCAGGGGAGAGAGGAGAGTAATATTTATATGTGTAATTGTGGAAGGGAGCAAGGAAGGAGGAGGGAGGATGGAGGAGGGAGGAGGAAAGGGGAGGGAAAAGGACGAGAAGGAGGAGGATTGGATAGTATTTTTGTTCGCCGCCCTGGCTCTCGTCATCGTCGTCGTCATCATCGTCGCCGTCGCCGTTCACGTCGTCGTCCTCTTCGCCATCGTCGTAGCATAACGTTTTTTTCGGGCCCCCGCGGCGCTGCCACGTGACGACTAGGATGGAATGCGATGTCTTCGCGCCTACAGGCGCTGTCACGTGGCGAGAGGAGTGGCATAGTATTCTTTTCGGCCCCCGCGGCGTTGCCACGTGCGGAACATGTTTTTTCGGCTCCCGCGGCGCTGCCGCGTGACAAGTGAAGTGGATGAAATCATGTTTCTTCCCGCCTCCAGGCGTCGTCATGTGGCAAGTGGAGTGGGTGAGTACTTTTTTCGGCCCCCCAGCGGCGTTGCCACGTGACGATCATAGTGGAACCGTATTGCTTTCGCCCCCCAGTAGGTCCCACGTGGCGAATCGTGTGGAATTCTATGTTTCTCAGCCCCCGCAGCGCTGCCACGTGACGAGCAGAGTGGAATCGTATTTTGTCGCCCACCAAGGATTTGCCACGTGGCTAGTGGAGTGGAAAGTATGTTTTTCGGCCCCGCGGCGCTGCCACGTGACGAGGCGCACATTGCGTTACAGTGCATTGCGTTGCAGTGCATTGCATTGCGTTGCAATGTACTATATTGCATTGCATTGCGTTGCGTTGCATTGCATTGTGTTGCACTGTATTGCGTTGCATCCTGTTGCATTGCATTGCGTTGCATGCGTGTTGCATTGCTTGCGTTGCATTGCGTTGCGTTGCCTCATGAGTAGAAGGGAGGAAGGTACAGAGACGAAGGGGGAAGGAGGAGTGAGGAGGGAGGAAGGGGGAGGAGGGGAGGGGGAGTGAAGGGCAGAATCGGCCACCCACCCAGGCAAGCGGGCAACCGTCCACCCAGCCATCCATCCAACCAACCGGCCAACCAGCAGCCAACCAACCAGCCAACCAACGAACCAACCACCCAACCAACCAACCAGCCAGCCAGCCAAGCAATCAACCAACCACCCCATCTCCTCGGAAGAAAACATTGACCCAGAAACTGGTGAGCCAACCAGCCAGCCAACCAGCCAACCAACCCACCAACCAACCAACCAACCAACCAAGCAACCAGCAACCAAGCCACCAACCAATCAGCCAACCAACCAATCAACCAACCACCGCCCAACCAACCGACAAAATTCTTGACCCGGAACCTGGCGAGCCAACCAGCCAACCAGCCCACGAATCGACCAGTCCTTCCCAAAGGATTTTTGGAGGACGCCCCACAATGCGGATCTTTAGTTCCTTGTTTTTGTTAAAAATCCGATCTTGAAAAAGATATGACACGCAATCTGCGAGCAACAAGCCAACCAACCCACTAACCAACCAGTGTTTCATGGAATGTGTTGGAGGATGTCCCACACGGCGGGTCCCAGAAATTATGTTTTTGCCAGGAACAAAACTTTTAACATTGGCAGATACCCTGAAATAAGCAAGCTGCTTGACCCTTCTCCTCTGCCCCGTTCGATACCTTCCTCGGGTGTGTTTACCAGAGGGCTTTGCTTGTCGTGGTGCTCATTCGGAGGGAGGATCTCCTGCCCTCTTATATTCGTCCCTGAGAGGAGCGGAAGAAGGGAGCGAAGAACATCCTGAGCTTGAGCATCCAGCGCCCAAGGAGTCGACCAAAAACCAACCGTAACCACCACACCTGCGGCCCTCCATGTGGCGCTGCGGCCCATCGGGGGCCGTAGCGTACGCCACGAACAAGCCCAAGCTTGATTTCATGGTATATGCTGAGGCCCGCGGCGCCGTAGGTGGGGTGGTGTCGTTTGTTTTTCTGGTCCGAGGAGGGAGAAGCGGACGCGCTTCCCGAGCCAGCGGGAGGATCTGCGCAGGCGGCCGCGGCGGGGGGGGGGGCACAAGGGTGGTGCGTGCCCCTCGCCTGCTCCCTTCCCCGCCTGCTCGAGGTGCGGTCCATGTACGGCCAATCCATTATTGGAGAGTGTCTTGTGACCCTCTGGGCCATGACGCGTGTTCTGCCGCCTCCCCTCCCCCCCCATACGTAGCGCTCCCCCCCTCAGTGCGTCCCTGGCGCTGCCGCAGTGCGTCCGTCACCACAATCTTGGGGGGGGGGGCGTTGCGTTATGCTCCCCCGGTCCCCCCCCCCTCTCCCCCCGTCTCCCTCATCCTCCTCGTGGACCTCCGTTTCCTTCTCCTCTATCCTCCTCGTGGCCCTCCTCACTCCCTCCTCCCTCCCCACCCCGCTCCCCTCCCCCCTCCTCGAGCTTCTGCAAGCGCCCTGCACGCGGCCGCTGGAGGTGTCGGCGCTGGTGTCCGTGGCATTCTCAGGTGCAACGATAGGGGGGATAGGCTCAGGGGGGATGCCTCGACACCCAATCGCCCATTCATCGCCGATAGGGGGCCCGATAGCCCGCCCCGCCCAGGAACGTGCGGATCCGCTATCGGGGGCCTACAGTCAACCCGCATAGTAAGGAAGAGCGACTTTCCAAGGTTACCCTTGCATCCTTCCATTTCGGCCCGTCCTTGGCGAATCCCGCTGCCCAACCTCGCTTGCAAAACGCGAAAAACGCCAACATGGCCCCCAAGGCCCTTGCATCCTCACCGTGCATCCCTAATGTGCGGGTTGACTGTGTGTCGGGGGCCTATCGCCGATATGCCCGCGATGTACCGCCGATTTCAGATCGATGTCCCCACCCCTGGGCCGGTGCCGCCGTACTGAGGAGACCCATGCTAAGAAACACCCTGCTTGCCTCCAGGGTGCCCTGGGTTTCTTGGGTTTCGATGGTTCTGCTGTGGAAAGCGTGGCGGTCCCAAAATAAAATCGATGGACGTCCTGGGATCTCAGGGTTCGGTTTCTCGTGGAAGGTTTCTTGTGGTCGGGTCCCTACTGTATCGGATGGCCCCTCACCTTCGGGCTGCCGGGGGGCGGCATCTCGGGCGAAGGCGCGCCGGCGAGTGGCCGAGGAGGGGGGGAGGCCTCGGCCACAGCTAAGAGAGCGACCATTCGCCGGAGTGGCCTTTGGTCCAGGCCTCCTAGGTGGGCTCGGAGCAGAGGGGGTGGGAGGATCGCGCCGTGTCGCTGATGCATCGGCGATGCGGCTCGATGCGGAGCCCGATTTTCTTGACGCCGACGTCGCCGATGCGTCGCCGACGTCGGCGATGCATTGACGATGCGGCGCGATCCTCCGACCCCATCCAGGAGGCCTCTATTCGGTGCGGGCCCAGAGGGGTACCGCCCAGTGCCTCCCAGTAATTACTGGCTTGCGCGCTTGGGTCTGGCGCCACTGTGGCCCCCTGAGCCGCGCACCAAAGGTCACTCTTCCTAGGGTCATTCTTAGGTGTGTCAGCCATGCGCAGAGGGTGGTACGGGGGAGGGGGGAAGCCTTCTTAGAAGCACCCCTGCTTCTTAGAAAGCGTGGGCCTTATCTGTAGATCTAGGGCCGGCGCCTTCTAAGAAGCGGCCTCCTTCTAAGAAGCCTTCCTTATGCCCCTACCCCCCTGTGCGCGCTGCCAGCTGAGCGACACCAAAAAACGGGGTCGTCTTCACCGACACTGGCGCGTAAGCTGCCCGCGTAAGGTCGCGCGTAAGCGCCCTCGCCTCCAATGTGGCGTGCCGCGCTGGCGGCCCGCGTAAGCCGCCGCGTGATGCCCTTGTGTTATCTCGTGTAAGACCCGTTGTTGATTTTCGCTCAAGTGTAGACGAGGGTCGCCCACGCCGCTCCAAGCGCCGCTAACGTCTCGAGCACCTTGCGGTCGGGCCGCTGAGAATGTGCAGGGCGATCCAGGCAGTGGCCGAGAAGGTGGCATCTCTCAGGGGCAACGTCGGGGAAGGGGACAGGCTCGGGGGGGGGACGCATCGACCCCCAATCACGAATTTCGGGTCGAGGTTTTCGGTTCGAGGTTTTAGGTAGTTTTCGTCAATTCTCGGCGGTTTCCCAGCCCCGGGATGCGTTCCATCAGCTGCGCATCGCCGAGGGCGTTCAGGGGATGCCAGAATCGTTCCGAACGGCCGCCAGAGAGCCGAGTTACGACCCAAAAGCCAAGTGGCAATGTTAAGGGTGAATAGGCTCATGGGGGGACGCATCGACCCCCAATCGCCCCTTCATCGCCGATAGGGGCCCGATAGTCTACCCCGTCCAGGAAAGCGCCGATTCTCTACCATGGGCAGCACGATTTTCAACGCTTCAGTCCTACCAGCCATCTTTACCATAGTCGACTCTACACTGCTAGCGTACGCAGTGTCACAGTAACGGGGTGGGGGCGATGAGGTGGTGGAGGATGATGAGAAGGTGGCCCACTCCTTACCAACGACGGTGGTGATGAGGATGAGGTTGTGATGGGCACTCCTTACGATGGTGGAGCCCATCCATACAAGCAATTGTAGTCCAGGCTTGATACCACCTGGCCTGCCACCCAGCCTCACATCAATTTCGCTCAGGCCTGACCTGCCAATTTGACCGTGCTGCCGTCCACGCCACCCAGTATTTCGGGCCTCCCTCCTCGCTCGGTGTCCTCCTTTTGATCATGGCCATGTTCTGTTGTGGCGATGAGCCTCCTCCTCCTCCTCCTCCTCCTC